GAAGCATTCATGATTTACCCACTATGGCCCAGTCCTGTGCTAGGTACAAAAACACCAGAATAAGCATAGCACTTATATGTAGAAGTTCATTGTCCAGCAGAAGAGACAAATAGGTCATTGAAACTGGCATAAGGTATACATTCCTAAAATATATATTCTGGAGTCTTCTCTTGCCTGCAGTGTCCCTGCCAAAGCCATAGTTCCAAAGCCTGCAGGGTGTCTCTACTGGGAAGCTGGCACCCCCAAACAAATGTATCATGTTCTTCTCACCCCAGTATGTGCATGCATCTGTGTGCAGGCATGCACACTTGTGTTCGTATATTTGTGTATGGAGGAAATATAATTTAGAGAAAGGAGTAATTTACTTCACAATCCATACCTAAGCCTTCTATAAATTATCTCAATTCTCCTTTCAAAATCTATCCCAAGTCTATCATAGTCTTTCTTCTCCATTGTTTATTCCTCTCCTGGACATCAGCAAGAGGCCTGAGTCCACTCTCGCCCCGTCTAATCCGTGCTTTACACAGTCGTGGAATGACCTGCTGGTGCATGCATGGGATCAAGCTCTGCCCTGCTGGTAACTGCAGTGGCTTTTATCACACAGCCGATGTGGTCCATGCTTCTTCCTGTGACCAGCAAGACCCTCTGAGGCCTGTCTAGGCTTCTTCCAACCTCAGCTCCTGGAATTCTCCCCTTATCTACAAGCTTCTGCCACACATACCTTCCTCCAGCTTAGGCCATCCACTGTGCCCAGGACACCTCCCTTCATGTCTTTAGTGCCTCTTTCTTATCCCTTGGACCTCCTCTCAGTCTGAATTTCACCTCCTTACCCTTTCCCAGATCCTCTTAAGCGATGTGTGTGTCTCCTCCCCATCCCCTCCCCTGGCAGTTAATTTCTATTTCTACAACCTGTTCACTTCCTACATGGCTCTTTTCATAGTCTGCAGTTATATATTGATTCATTCACTCAACAAAAGTTCCTGGGGCCATACTAGGATGTGCACTGTTATAGGTGATGAATATACAGTGATGAACAAAAAGAGATGTGGTCTCTTCTCCCATGAAATGGGAATTCTAGAAAGAGGGGATTGACAATAAGCAATGGTAACTATTGAATAAATAGTGATTTTCTGAGAATTAAAATAGCATTTTATAACAAAGAGGAATTTGACTACATGATCAGGAAAGGCCTCTCTGAAAAGGTGGCATTTTAAGTTGATATCCAAATGATGAGAATAGAGCTATTCAAACATCAGAGGAAAAGGGTAGCCCAGACAGAGAAGACAGCTAATACCCAGGCTGTGGGCTAAAGTGAGCGTGGTATGTTAGAATGCTTAAGAAACAAGAATGAAGACAAGAACAAAGAGAAAAAAGAAGGAAGAAATTAAAGAGGGTAAGAAGGAAGGAAGGAGGAAGGCAGGAAGTGAGGGAGGGAGGGAAAGAGGGAAGCCCTCATACTCTAGCAGTGTCCAGGTGTGAAACAATGCTAGCTTGGACTAGCTAGATGGTATTCGAGGTGGGAGGATATATGCCACATGCATTTTAGAAGTAAGGGCAACAGATATTACTGATAAGGAGCAAGATGTAAAGGAGGAACCAAGGTGACATCCAGATTTTGGGCTGCTTATTTAGTTTCCTGCACTAGATCATGAGCCTTGCAAGGACAGGGACCATATTGACTTTGTTCACCTGGGACATAATACAAATTCAATAAACATGGTTGAAAGAACAAATGTATAAAGAGATAAAACTATGGGAGAAGGGATGGAGGGATGTCAGTGCAGGTTTCATAGAAGTGGAAATGGCCGTACAAGGTTCATCTGAGTTGAATCTGTAAGGTTGGCAAGACAGGGAAGAGCACTGGATGCTGACAGCACATCATGTACAAAGGGAGGCAGGAACATACATGACCAGAACAATGTCACTGAAATACTTGACATGCCTAAGGTAAATCATCAGCTCTGTGAGTAGGCCAGAATCAGAGAAACTAGACTAGTGAATACACTATTCTCTTCATCATAGCTTGATACAAAGATAAATAATAAGAACTCTGAAGAGGGGATGAAGAAGGGGAAAAAATCAAAATCCAGAAATTCAAGCCCAAAGCTATCCTGATTCCTACAGATGGTAGAAAGCTGTCAGACACAGATATTGAAGAAAGTCTGGGATCCCATTGAAGTCTAACATCACCTCCCCAACATTCAAGACTTCATGAGATTTTTGATGCAAGGTTTCATGCTGCCGTTTTGGGGAGAAGCATTTTATCTGAAGAGCACATTAGAGCAAACAGCTTTGTGCATTGTCTGGGAATGAACCCAGGGAAGATCTGAGGCAAACCCAAGGAACAAAGATCCCCTGAGAGCAAATCAGCCAGTGTGTTCACTTAAATCCTTCCATACCAAGCCCAGCTCTTTGAGAACATGAATGCGTATATACCACACAGGGAGTTCCTTAGAAATAAACACAATAGAATATAAATGTTATTAAAGTCATATAGATTAGAGGTACATGGAGAGAGAAAGACAGTGACAAGAAGGGAAGACAGAGAAATAGGTTGAGAGAGAGAGGAAGACAGACACCGAGAAAGAAATGGAGTGAGAGAGATGGGGGATGAGAAAGAGACAAAGCGAAACTAGACAAAGATCAGACATGGAGAGAGGATGTGCATGACTCCATTTGTCAAAGGGAAAGAAGGTAGATGTCTTTGTTCTCGGTAGGTTAATATGTAAATGACATTCTGATTTATTAGCGGTCTCCAGCAGATGAGGTGATGATTAGCACATTTCCATATTTATAGAAAAGCAACACTAACTTTCCAGATTTATAGAAAATCAGCTCTTTACAAATAGCAAATTGTGCTATTATCGACATATGGTTTTCTATAAACAGAGCTGAGGTAATTATCCCTGGGACAATTTGTTGGTGGGTTCCTTTTGAATATTAACCACATCAAAAGCCCATTTCTGCCTCACAGATTTTCAAGAGGAGGGGCCATGAGATACCCCAGGCAATTAATTAGGAATCCAACACCAAAGACAGGAGCCCAAGCCCAAATGAAAGGCTTAACCATGACCACATGGTAGAAAGACCATGGGCCCAGGGCTCTGATGTCAGCTTCCTGCAGCACTAGGCAAAGTCATTAACCTCCCTGAGGAGTCTAAGCATTGCTTAGGGCTAAAACTGTCACATTACCAACCTCCAAGTGTCGTCCAGAAAATTAAATGAGAATATACGCAAAAGCACCTAGGACCTAATAGGTACTCAACACATTAGCTCTTTTTCCTTCCTCATGTTTTTGAATAATTCTAAAAAGATCCATTTGAACTAAGTTTGTCAAACTTTTTTTTTTATTGATCCACCATAAATTACTTCTTTTGTATCACAACTCTGCACATCTATGTTTAACTAGCAAAAGTTTCTTGAGGCAATAACTTACTTTCTATAATTGCCTATAATACACTATGATATTTTCTATTCTATCCTTTGTTATTTAAAATGTCATTTGTGTAGGCAGAGACAAATGTATTTGAAAAAATAAATTAATTAATTAAGATAAAAAATAAAATAAAATAAAATGTCATTTGTGATCCATACTGTGACTTCAAGACCTACTATGGGGTTGGACCCTACAGTTTGAAGACTACTATGCTACAAGAGGGTAGGAACCATACTTAGACTTGCTCACCATTGTATCCCTATCACAAACACATCATAGATACTCAATAGATGCATGAATTATGAAAGAATGAATATATAGATATATGACTTAACTAATGAATTACCCTAGACAGGAATCCAAATGCATGCTGCTTTCCAACTCAATGTCTTGTTTTGCACATTGATTACATAACTAAGCTCTGTTGAGTGCTAAAGAGACAGAAAAGCATCAGACATGATACTTGCTTTTAAAGATCTTGCAACCTAGATGAGGGAAAAAATATTAACATTTGGAAAATTGTTTTTTAAAGACCAAACAGTGTGGAATTTACAAGAATTTATTGAAGAAAAGAAGTGGCCAGCTTAGGCTGCTGCAGTTAGGAAAACTTCTTGAAACTGGGAATATAATTTTGGCTTTGATATATGGGTATATCTCTCCCTGCTTCCACTCATTTGTTGATTAGCTCAGTGGTTCTCAAACTAGTGAGCATCATAAGCTCCTGGAGGGCTTGTCATAACACAGATTGCTGGGCCCACTCCCAGAGTTTCTAATTCAGTAGCTTTGATGTAAGAGCCTGAGGTTTTTCATCTCTGACAGGTTCTCCGGTCATACTGATGCTGCCAGCTGGAGTCCACACTTTGAGAACGACTATTCTAGCAGTTTGGAGTGAGACCATGAAATAAGACTATGATGATATCATGCTAAGAAGTTTAGACTTTATTCTTAGCCATTCAGGATATTAGACAAGAAAAGTGGTTACATCAAATCTGTGAGGTAGAAAGATCCTTCTGGTGGTAATAGCTGAAAATAGATTGGAGCTGATGCAGTAATGAGTGAAAGATGAGAACCCAGCCTACTACTGTAGGAGTTGATGTGGAGAACAGCAGATGGACAAGAGCTGTTCCGGAGAGAGGACTGCGGGGTCTTAGAGATTGACAAAGGGTGAAGGAGAAGGAGGAATCAGGGTGACTCCAGTTTTCTGGCATCACTGGCTGATAGGTATGGCAGTTCCATTAACCAAGAATCTACATCTAAACTAAGTTTTCATGTTTTGAATAACAAAATCCCAGATTATTACCAAAGCGGTAACCATGGTGAAATAGAAAACACATCATTTTAGGGAACCAGACAAGTATGAGTTAAAAACACATTTGTAGAGCTTAATTAGTAAGTCATTTCACCCTCTGGACTTCAATACCCTGAAAATAATACTAATGATACCTTATAGGGTTGTCATGAGGACAGAAGAAGACCATCCATGGCTCATAGTCTGTGCTCTGAAAGGTGCAAACCATGTTCTGGTGTAGGCACTGACCACTGTGTACATAAAGCTCCTACTTACCAGTTGACTTCATTTTTTCTTTGTCAATCACCAGGAAATACTCAAAAATTCCACCCATTGATCCAGATGTTATGTAATGGGTGCCATAGTCATTGATGAACTTGGCATACATGCCATAATTGTACTGCTCCGGAAGCTCCATTATTGACTGCATCATTCCTTCATCTAGCATAATATTGTCCCTCCTCATCTTAAAATGAGCAGTCTGCACCTTTGTGAAAATTCTGATGAAGGCATATTTCTGCCAACAGCAACAACAGCCAGAGAATGAGGGAAAAGAACAAAGAGAGTATACATTTTACCATGCGAAATAATGCAAAAGGTCTGCATTTGGTAGCTATGAAATATATATATATTTACATATAAATGCATTAGCATAAATATATATTTAATGGAGTATTAGTATATTTTACAAGCACATATTAGATACCATGACTTCATCTCTGTCCCCACTGCTCTGTCCAGGTCAAGTTCTTAACAACGTTTACCTGGGCTACTTACTACAATGTGCTTGGCTGTGCTCTTCACCCCTATTCTGCCTCTGGTCCATTCTCATCTCCACTTATCTCCCTTCCCTAATTAAAGCATTGTGTTATGCAACCTCCTACACAAGTATTAGGTATCCAATAAAAATTATGCTTAGAAATATTTTCAATAACATGGTGAAAAGCCAAGATTATTTATTTGTTTAACTTATTGAACAAGTATTTAAAAGTGCCTATACTCACATGTGATATGCTAGGTGCAATGGACATAATCTTGACTGAGCTAGTCCCCTATTCTCATGTAACTTACATTCTAGTTAGTGATAACCTTGTACTGTTAATTAATAAAGAAGCAGGAAACTTATATAATAATAATAATAATAATAATAAAAAGAAGAAGCCACCAGGACCAGGGTATTTTTGAATTGGTTTAAAAGGAAAAGGGTCATGTATGGGCTCTATTTTCAGGTAATGTAAACCTTGATCCAAAGTGATAGTAAGAGACTGAGGAGGTCACTTGCTTTGAGAAAAGTCTGCATTAATATGTGACAACCAGATAATAGAATACTCCTTTCTGATCCATCGCTAATTTGTGGCAAAGCTCCAGAGTATAATTAATACTTGCTAAGTTCATTTTTATAACTATTTTCACAATTTTAAATAAATTTTTGAGCCCCGACAAAATCCACACCTCTGACATCAAAGTCATTGAAACATTCTTCCAAATTTCTAACCAATTCAGTAAATATTTCTCTGGCTGCTGATTACCTCTCCATCCTCATCACTCCCTACTTTTCCTCTCTACCATGTGTTTCAGCCAGCTGAAGTACTTTCAATCCCAAAGTTGCGAGGCATTTTGCCATCTCTAGACCTTTGTACCTGCTGTTTCTCAAGCATAGAACACCCTGCTGTTAACTTCTGTCACCCTTCATTTGGAGAACTTGAACTAGGCTTTAAATCTCAGTCTAGGTAGATGTTTTTTTCTTTAAGGAAGCATTGCCTGGCCCCTCAGGATAAGAGACAGTTAGTAGTGAATGTTTGATGAATAAACAAAAACCTTATTTAGCATGCCAGCTCTCTGATCTCTTTGGAAAAGTAAGGCTTGCTTTAGAATTCTTCCCAGTCTAATTTAGAGGGCCTGGCTGTTTCTCTTTAAGACAATACCAGTCTAGGTATTTCCCTGTATACTCCAGGTAACCCGGAAAAATGGTGGGTAAAGTGATAAAAGTTCTAGTCTCATCATTTGATTTATTCACTTTGTAATGATTCTGTGTGCAAAAGTGTAATAAGAAAAATAAACATGATTACCACTAATCAGACATTTCCAATTACACAAGCAAATGAAAGTTCAATTACTACTGTACTTTTTAATACAATTAAGGTAATATGTGTTCAGTATAGATTATGGAATACTGTGCAACACAGGCATTATATTTTAATACCTTCTCGTTGTACTTGTTTAACTGATTCAAGAACGAAGAGGCATATGATCCAGATACACCTACATCCACTGTTACCGGAACGCGTGAGAGGCCCACACCAACGGTCAACCCACCTGACAGAGACAGGTCGTTTTTTAGTTTAGTTAAAAGTTCATTTGTATCCTCATAAGACTCTGAGGAGAAACTAGTGTCTGCCAGGGCCTGTAAAGAAACAAATGGATGTTAGGTTTGTGCGTGTAGATTTATATTCCAATTCATACTTAATATTTAAATCTTTGCTTTGTAAAAATCTACAGAGGCTCAAGTTATTATAAATAAGTCTTTTAAAAGGCTAATTGGGGCATCAGAGTAATACTAAGATACAGAAATTAAGCAGTATTTAGTTACTGTTCAGTGGTACTGCTAAAATATTTACGTAAACACACACACACACACACACACACACAATTTTGGTAAAATGCTATATTGTTCTGAGCATGGATTTCTTTTTAGCTGGATTACTCTTCCTGTAGAGAAGGTTGCTTGGTCCTGCAATGGAGAGGTACAGAAAGCCATGTCTGGGCATGGACCAGGGAGGAAAGGGGCAAAGGAAGATGTGCAAATGATGATAATTCTGCCCACAAATGTTCAGTTATTTCATTCCAGGCACTCAGTAAGGTTGCACTTCTCTGCCAACCTGAACTGAGGCATGGTCTTGTGCCTTGCTTGAGCCAAGGAAGCAAGGGTTAAGAGCCCATGAGTAGTTCACTGTGCATGGGATTTTCCTTTCCACCTCTGGATGGACAAGTAGGATAAGTTGGGCACTGTTGCTTCAAAGCACTGAGATTTCAGAATCCTTTGTTGCCACAGCACAGCCTCGTCTGTCTTGCCTGATGCATAGGCCCTAAGTTCCAGGGGTGTCCAACCATTTGGCATCTCTGGGCCACACTGGAAGTAGAAGAGTTGTTTTGGGCCCCACACTAAATACATTGCAACACATAATCACACAACACACACACAAAATCTCATAATGTTTTAAGTAAATTTACAATTTTGTGTTGGGCCACATTCATAGCCATCCTGAGCCACATGCAGCCCACAGGCCACAGGTTGAACACCCCTGTATCCTTGAGGTTAAAAAAATAGCATCGTCCATATCTTCCAGCTTGGCTTATCTTTGGCCTGATGGCAGACGTGGAAGTGGTTTGGGAAAGCCAACTTCTTAGGCACAGACTCCATAAGCCTGGCTTTATCCTGTGTCAATATTTTTCTCTTCAGAAACTTGGAAGAGGGGTGAATATGCTTGATAATTGTTTAGAGTCCTAGGATTCTACCATCTTTCTCTATAGATAGAATGTGTATGAGTATATAAATATAATGTATATAATTCATCCTCCCTTCAAAATGACACATACCCAGGCTTAGTTTAAGTAGGTCTAGGTTTGAATCTTATCTTTGCCACCTACTATAGTACTGCTTTGGGCCTGACACTTTATCCTTCTAAGTCTCTGGGGTTTTAGCGTTTAAATTGGGAAAATGATAACATCTACCCCATTGTGCTGTTATGGGAGAATTTGTGTGGAAGTAAAATAATTGACACGTAGTAACCATCCAATGAGGCTTGCTGTGTGGACATCTCGCCCAGAGGGTGAAAGTTGAGGAAATGAATGGTCAGGAGCAGCCTCTGGAGCTGATTGTGAGCTATGTGCTGCTCCAAGTGGCTAGGACACAAGGAATTTTAGAATTGGAGAGAATATCGGATCATCAGCAGTTTGCAAGCACTTTCCCTGTCCAGCCACCCCCTGCCTTGCCCCCCACTTTACAACAGGAAACTGGGCCCGGGAAGGGGAAACAGGCTGCTCAAGATCTTACATACATTTGTCCCTCGGTATCTGTGGGGGATGGTTCCAGGACACCCATGGATACCAAAGTCCACAGCTGCTCAAGTCCCTTGTATAATGGCAGAGTATTTGCATGTAAACTACACACATCCAACCTCCTGTATATTTTAAGTCATCTCTAGATGACTTATAATACCTAAAACAACTTAAATGCTACATAAATAGTTTTATACTGTATTGTATAGAATAATGACAAGAATAAAAAAGTTTGTACATGTTCTGTACAGATGCAACCATCACAGATAGCTTAACTACATAGTACATGTCAGCAACAATGTAACATTTAAAAAAAATATTTTTGACCCACGTTTGCTTAAATCCATGGATGCAGAACCTGCTAATACAGAGAGCTGTAACTCCTTATATTCTAACTGGTCCACAACTTAAAAATAGGTCTTCTGACTAACAACTCAGAAAATAGGCCCCAAATCTATTTTATCAATTTTAGAGTGGAGCCAAGATCCAGCTGGTGGGTGGTCACACTTACCTTACGTGTCTCTCTAGCCCTGCCCTGCTTCTCAGTGCCCTTTAGCATGGAGCATGTAGTGGGCGAGTGGAGAGGAACCTTCAGCCCCCAATCAGCTCTACAAAAAATGAAACCTTCCGAGCAAGGCATCTCCACCAACAAGCCTCTCCTTTCTGCCCCCAGCCCATTGTAGCCAACGTGTGTCCCTGTTGAGACTTACTTCAAAACGGTACATGAGGAAGTTGTAGGGTTTCCGGAAGTACTTCTCATCATCTCCATAGTAGAGACGCTCACAGGCAGGGTCGTATCGAAGTTCCCTCCACTCCCCATTGTATACCGTCTCACACTGGCCCCCATAATACGTGGCATCATACACGCTCTGAGTTTCTTGCTGGGTCAGGATATTATACCTAAATTGAAAGGGCAGGAAGCTTTTGCAAGAGAACACTGAAAAGGCAAAATAGCATAAGGTATTCTCTGAAAGATGTAGCTGGTAGTCTGAACAGCCGTTTCTCAAATTGTGTTCTGTGGAACCCTCAAAATACCTTCAAGTTCACTTGGGTAACAATGGGGGACCAAGTGAGCCAGGCCTGGGCCCTTAGATTCTCTTTAACCAAAGCACCAGACAGCTCTACTCAGTGTCTAGAACAGTGCTCTCACATAGGACACAGCCCTAAAGACTTTCTGAATAAGTTAAAAGAAAATATTGACAATTATCCAGTGTCCAAGCAAGGAACCAGACAGGCTGGACCCCTTCCCATCTCTGCCACATACAGCTGTATGACACTGGGAAAATCATAGAACCTCTCAGTGCCTCAGTTTAGTCATTTGTAAAAAGCAGTTAATACTACTGCCCTCAGAGAGTTAAACATCAGCTAAAATGTGTACAAGAATCATAATAGTTTTTAACATATATGAAGTACTAAAGAAATGTTGCTGCTACTATTTTCAGAAAAGGGATTTGCTGATTTAAAAAAAGATAGGTTTGAAATATTGGGTGTAAATCATAGTGCTAAGATGAGAATCTAATCCTCCGAGAAGCTGTTGTCTTCAAGGCATCACTGAATGTCGGAAGGTGCACACTTCGAAAGTCAGGGAGGCCCCTGTTTAATTTCCAACTCTGTCACTTACTAGCAATGTGACTTTGGACACATTCTACAATCTTCCTGAAGGTCATTTTTCTCATTTGAAGAACAGACATAAATAAAACTATCTCCCATGGTTTTTATGAAGTCTAAATGAAAGTGTTAAAGTAAAACAGAAGTAACATTGATAGTACATACTAGGCACTCAACAGTTTTACTTTCCCTGGCCCAGTACCTTTCTAGAAATATTTTCCCATGCATCCCTCTCTGGGGTATTTCAAATCTATCTGCTCAAGTTCTATAATATATTTTAGGCCATTCATTTTTTGACATATTAGGGTAACAATAATGTTAAACAGATGAAATACAGTTTTAACTATCTAAAAGAGAAAGTTAACTGAACAAAAACATTCAAAGTTGGTTATGAGTTCCAAGACCTGACAATCAAAGCCTTTTACGTTACATAAAAAATGTTGCCTGTTTCTGTCTCCCAAACTCCTATGTAGCCTTTAAGATCCAATTCAAATGTTGCCTCCTCTGTATGGCCTTCTTTGATTATCTTGGACAGAGGGTTGTCCCTCTTCTGTGGTCCAATGGCATTCATGATTAGCTTGTCATATTTGTCTTTCCCTCTGTAGAAAGTCACAAAGGCAGTGAGATGAGCAGGGTAAAAACTGAATAAAACCTGCTCAATGGGTAAATGAACAATTATAGAGTACTTGGCATATAGTAGAAATTAAATGCAAGCTAACTTCCTTCTTCTCTTTCTTTCTTATTCCCTTTCTTCATGTTAGTGGAAGTGATGTAATAATAGCTCCAATGAATTGAATATATGCTCTACCAGACATTTAGTATACATTAGCTTTCAACCTCATGACAGTTTTGCAAGTGCAGAAATTGAAACTCAGAAAAATTAAGTAATTTTTTGTAATCACAGCTAGATTTTCCCTCATAGAGTTTTTGGGGAACACAAATCCAGGGTTTTTCCCTTTACTTCACCCTGCGGTTTCTATCTTTTCCCTTATTGAACATGTTTCTGTCTGAAGCTTATAAATATAAGCTTTTTAGCAAGCCAAACAGAAATTCAAAGGAATAATAAGCCCTAAGATTGTACCGTAAACTCTAAGCCTACATTGATTTTGGAAATGGGGTTGCAGGAGCACCAGTGAAAAGAAAAAGACATAGTCAAGAAATTCCACTTGTTGAAATATATGCAGAAATATTCACACATGTATACAAAAATATGTGTATGAGGATGTTCATTGCAGTGTTTGTTTAATAGAGGAAATGGGAAATGATCTAATCTTCTTTCAATAGGAAGTAGTTAAATAAGTTATCACATAATTATACTATAGGAGAAGAAGTGACAATTTTTTTTTTTAACAAAGAGCCATATAGTAAATATTTTTGGCCTTGCAGACTGCAGGTCTCTGTTACCACTATTCTGTTCTGCCATTGTAGGGCAAAAGCTGTGCTCCAAAAGCAGACACCAGGCTGAATTTGACCTTTAGGCCATAGTTTGCTGCTACAGAACATTATGTGGCTTAGAAAGAGACAATAAAACATATGGGGAAATCTTTAAAATATATTATGATGTGAGAAAAGCAAGCTATAGACTTTATATGGTATAATTACACTTATGTAAACTATACTTATGTCTAGAATGCACAAAACTTACTATAGGTATATTTTCCAAACAGTGTGTATTCTCAGTGCATTTTTCTATGAGCTAGAAGTGCCTACACCATACTGTTAACAGAGGCGAGCTCTAGGGAGGACAGTGAGAGAGGGTGATTGGGTGGGTGCAGGCCAGGAAGGGTGAAGGAAGACTTTCAGTTGTTACCTCAAATATGAGTGGCTTCTGTAATAATAACTAAAAATTAAAATCTAGGAAAGGCTTCGATTAGTAGAAATATCAGGAAAGGCATTTAAGATCTTGAATAGAAAAACCATCAAAATGGTAGCTGCTAGGAGTGGAGGAGGAGCCATGCAACTGGTTTGAGTGTCTAGTGTGGGCAAAACCCATTCAGGACGTGCACTTGAAGTGCCCCTGGTTGAATCACATGAGATCAGATTGTGGTCTGTGATCTTTTTGCCAATAAGGGGGTTATTATTTTTTTGTCAAACTTTGATTATTTTGTGTTTCTCTGCTCACCCCACAGTCATTTTCAAAATCTACAGTAACCACATTTTGTTGGTGTCAGGGGCTCAATTACCCTAACATTCATATGTTGAAATCCTGACCACCCCACCCCCATCCCTCAGAATTTGACTGCATTTTGGTGGTAGAGTCTTTGCGGACTTGTTAAAATGAGGCCAGTAGGGAGGGCAGTAATCTAATAAAAGGCAGAAAATTGGACCCAGACACATACAGAGGTAAGACCATGTGGACACGCAGAGAGAATGCGGTTATCTCCAAACCAGAGAGAGAGGCCTCAAACAAAACAACCCTGCTGACACCTGATCACAGAATTTTAGCCTCCAAACCTGGGAGAAAATTAATTTCTGTTGCTTAAGCCACCCAGTGTGTGGTACTTCATGGCAGCCTGAGCAAACTAATACTATTAGCCTGAAAGAAAATGGAATTTTATAGTCTTTTCATGAGTGTGTGCCTACATGCACTTATAGGAGTCTATCCTGTCTGGTAGGTGGGCTGTGATATTAGGGCAATTAGGCCCTAATGAATGAGAGCTGCATTTCACAGCACCCTCCCCTGACCCTGAGTGGGCTGCAACGTGGTCGGTCACTTTGTGATGATTACTACATTTCCCTGTTTCCACATCTGTAAAGATCCAGTTGGTCATGTTGATTTGTTCCAATTCAGCCAATATTCAGTGAGAGGTTATTACGGAAAAAGCTCTGACATTGGGGCTCAGGTGATTAAAAAAAAGTTTATGTTTAAGTTAAGGGACATGATCCAAGACAAATACAAAGTGTCAGTGAACTAACTGTGAATACTGTGAGTGTCACTAGGAGCTGGGTGCTGGAGATGATGAGAGTTATTATCAGAGGCAGGAAATTGTAACAGATGTCCCAGTCCTGCTGGATAAGTTCTCGAAGGGTAGGACACACAAAGGATTCTGGGAGCAATAGGAGAGGACTAAGCCAGAAGAGTATGTGGAGGAGTGTTGCCTGGGTGTCTTTGTTAGCTCAGGCTGTATAAAATACCATAGAATGGATGACTAAAAGAATAAACATTTGTTTTCTCACAGTTTAGAAGGCTGGAAGTCCAAGATTAAAGTGCTGTAAGGATTGATCCATGGCAAGGCCACTTCCTGGGTTGAGATGGCCACCTCCTCAGTATTTTCATGGGGCCTCTTCTCTGCATGTTGTGAGAGCAATCTCTAGGGTCTCTTTCTCTAATAAAGACATGAGTCCTATTGGATTATGGCCCTGCCCTATGGCCTCACTTAGCCTGAATGACCTCTCCTAGAAACAGTATCTCCAAATACAATCAGAGGTTAGGGCTTCGTGATATGAATTTTAGGGGGACAAAAATCAGTTTGCAACACTAGGTAAGGAATTAGGCAGGTTAGAAACATGGGGAAGGAAATTTCAGAAGAAGTTAAATTTATTAAGTCCCAGAACAAAAGAGTGATGCATTCAAGGAACTATACCTGAGCAGAATGCATATGATAAAGTTAGAATCAACAGACGAAGACACTGCCGGGAGGTATGAGTAACCACTGGTAAAGTAGAGAGTCAAGTCCTTCTTGTATCACCCTAAACCCATTTTCTTTGCACTGTGTCATCCTATTAGCCCTGGTTATACCAGCAACTGCAGTCCAAAGCAGAATGTGAACAGGGCTACTGTGAAGTGCATTCAGGTCAGAAAAGAGCTATCCTCTTGAGATATCAGGGAAACGTTCACGGAAGGTGTGGCTTTTTAGGTGGGCCTTGGCAATGGAATTGGGGTGAGAGGAGTGAGTGGCAGAATGAGCAAGGGAGAAAGGAAAGGAGGAATCTCAAGTAGATATAGAGGGGAAAATGGAAAACAAGTGTGTCCTGTAGGCAGGACTTGGCAAGCCCCCTGTTATGGACTGAATGTTTGTGCCCCCCGCCCCCCCCAAATTTCATGTTAAAGTCCTAATCCCTACTGTGATGGGATTAGGAGGTGGGGCCTTCAGAGGTGCTTCGATCATGAAGGTGTAGCTCTCATGAATGGTATTAGTGTCCTTATAAAGACGACCCTCCAGAGCTCCCTAGTCCCTTCCAATATGTGAGGATACAAGACTTGAAAGAGGGCCCTCACCTGACCATGCTGACACTCTGATTTTAGACTTCCATCCTCCAGGACAGTGAGAAATACATACATTTCTGTTGTGGGTAAGCCACCTGGGGTGTGGTATTTTGTTTTAGCCTTCTTGATGAAGACACCACCTTGGATAGACAGTGACAGCTGCCTCATAGGAAGTACTCCATAGGATCCTCCAAAAAGACCCTCTTCTGTCTCCAAAACTGATTTTCATGATTGGAGAAAAATCATTCCATGCCCCAAAATGACCAGAAGGCAGCAACTCACCCAAGAGCTGCCCTCTCAGACCCTGGAATTGGGTCATACAAGCTGCAGTCGTTTTCAGGGACCCTGACATCATCACAGTTGTCCTCATCAGAGCCATCAGAGCAGTCCCGGTCTCCGTTACACACGAGGTGGCGTTTCAGGCAGCGACCTGAGAGAGGAGAGGCTGTGGACGCTTCTAGAGCCTCCTGGGCTCCTCCCTCTCCCCCATGACCCACATCCACAGTCGCCAAGTCTGTTGCACTTCTGAGTTGCTCCTCAGCCCTCCAACCTATTTCGTTCTTTTTCTAGCCTCCCTGCCTCTGCCCTCCTTACAGCCTCATTGTCTCCCACCTGCAGTCTCCCAGCTCAGGCCCTGACCCAGGCTCCCTTCTAAAATCTAGCCTCCACATTACAGCCCCAGTGATCTTTCTAAAATGAAAGTCTGGTGCTGTCATCCCCATGGTCTGTATCCTCCAGGGGCTCCCCATTCCTCTTCCAAGTGCTGTAGTCTGGCCCCTGGTTACCGACCTGGCCCATCCCCTACCTCTCTTCCCAAAGGCCTGGCCTGCAATTATTCCAGACTGATGGCAAATCTCTAAATCCCTGTGCTTTTGTACAGTGTTTTTCCTAGAAACTCTTTTTCATTTTCTAAGTCTCAGTTCAAGTATCATTTTGAAGTCTTCTCTGACTCTCCAAAGCAGATTCATGTACCCCCTGCTAAAGAGTCCCACTGGACCTTGTACTAATGCCCATCCACTCTTTACCCCACAATATTTTCATCGGCTCCTTTTAGGTCTCCCTCCCAAGGAGACTGGGAGTACCTTGAGGTCAGGCACATTATCTTTTTTATCTCTGTATCACTAGCAGGTAGCATACTGCCTGTCATGTAATATGTGCCCAATCAATATTTAGTCAATAAAAGGATGAATGAGTGAATTATATCTTTTCTAAATAAACAGATTTCACTACAAACTTATAACGAAATTACTTGGGCTGTTGTTTTGGCTTAAAATGCAGATTTCTGGGCCCCATCTTAAACCTGCAGAATGACAATTTCTAGGGGAAAGGCTCAGGAGTCTGCCTTTTAACAAGCTCCCCAGGAAAGTGTTTTGCATGTTAAGCTTGACAAGCACATCTGTTATCCTACTGGAATGCTACTCACCTGTCTCCTTACACTGGAAATCTTGTCCACACTGTGCTTGAGTTACACAAGCTGTGGCTCTGTGACAGCTCGTCTCACCCCAGACATCACCACTGCAGATGGTTTCCCCAAACTTGTTTGGCTGCAGCAGGCTCCGGTATCGGTACTAAATCAGATTTTGAACCAGACACATTCATTGTCTATCAATCAACCAAGAGTGGTGCAGGCAGGTCTCAGCTCAACATAAGGAATAACTGTCTAATAATTGAAAGCTGCCAAAAAGGCTGTCGTTTAAAAAAGAAATCAGTGTTCACAAGAAGTGATGTTCAACCAGAGGTGGCACAATCACCAGCTGGAATATTGAATGAGGACTTCAAGCACAAATGAAAGGCTTGAACAAGGTATATTTAGGGTCTTTCTATTTGCTAGAAAGACCCTCCTTCCCTTCCTTCACCCAGTTAGTTCCTACTCATCTTTCAAGATTTGTAGTGCAGCTCATCTGAAAGCCTTTCCTAACTAAGTAACATATTCCACAGTTCCCTGTGCATTCCTCTCTTGCTAGATCCTGTCATATAAAGTTGTGATTGATTGTTCACTTGTTTGTTTACCTTTCTCACTAGTTTAGGAACAATTTGCATATGGAAATAGGGGTAGAGAAAGGAAGGGCCATGTCTTATGTGGCTTTGTACACTTGACAATTTGATCTGTAGTCATGTACACAGGAGGCACTTTTAGAAGATGTTTGTTGCTTTTACTTTGCATTTCTTTGTATTTCTTCTGGTCATGCCGTCTTCTTTCCTTGAGACATAGCTCATATGGTTAAGTGGGGATGACATCATCCCCTCAGTCATAGGGATATCTGGATATGACCCAGGCAGGATAACTTGAGCACCATATCTGTCAAGTTGCAACAACTGACTCAGGGATTGGTTCATGGCTCAACTGTAGGGCCATCAGGGTCCTCTCAGCACATTTTCTTTCAGAACTATTGGAAAAGGCCATTTCTTTTTAGTGAAGTTAGTGGGAACTGCTGATATCAATTGGTCATCTTGCCTACAGTGTAGAAAGAGCCCACTGAAGAGATAGACACAGAGAGCTCTGAAGACATCATCTGAGGCCCTGGGTCCAGCTTTGACTGCATATGAATAAATGCTTATTGAAAGATGGATGGAAAAAATAAAAATGCACACCAATCTTGGAGCTCTGTGGATCCATGATACTGTAGAAGGAGAAAGATGAACATTAGGATAACTGGAGATATTTAGTTTCCATCCTTGCCTTCAAGAAGCCTAGAGTCTAGTTAAGGGGATACTTATATATAACATACATATATATATATATATATATAACATATATAACATATTGTTATACATAACATATATATAACATATATAACATATTGTTATATATAACATATATGTTATATATAACATATATATTTTATATATATAACAATACAAAACAGGCCATATGGAGAGCTCCATGCAAAATGTTCAATAAGGCAATATGGAGCCCCATATTTTCTGCCACTTCTGACCTTAAATCAACTATTCAGGCCTCTCCTTCAAGAATGTTGGTAGGTAGGAAAGCAATGATTTGAGAGGCAAGAGATGTGGGTTCCTGACCTGAATCTATTTCTTGCTTGCTGTGTGAAGTGCTTGATACGCTGTGCCTCAGTTTCCAAACCTGTAAAATGAGATGGTTGACCTAGTTGACCTCACTAATAACAATTACCAAATATTCTTTTACTGTGTCCTACATTTGAAAGAGCCTGAATGTGAGAATTCGACCGACTTGTGTTCAGATCCCAGATTCACTTACTGAGTGACCCTGAGCAAGTCACTTACCTTCTCTGAGCTCCTGGTTTTTAACATGTAAAATGGATGTAATTGACATCCCCTCAAAGGGGTTTTGTGAGAACTAAGTGAGAGAATGTATGAGGAAGCACCCAGCCCTGGGCCTGGCATATCACTGGTGCTCAGTAAACAGAAGTGGTTTCCACATCACCATCTTTATCAATGCAGTCTTTTCCCAATGATTCGGCAGGTGACTGTGCAGCAGACAGCTTCCCCATCTCTTTCCTCTTGCCAACGTCTGCTTACTTAACTACTCATTAACAAAGAGGCAGAGGCAGCAAAAAGAGACAAAGATCACACCTGCCCGTTTGCCTTCTTGGCTTTTCAGTTAACGACAACAGTAAGAGATCAGTAAACTCTGTGGAAGAGATTATAATGAGTAATCGATTTGGAAATATGAGGATATTTTCTTTTGCTACCTGCATCTTGCCCCACAATACAGTACATAAAAGAGTGCTTAGCAAACCAACATAGAGCCAATTCTCTTTTGGACTCTTTAAAATGTTCACCACAGTTTTCAAACTTGCATTTACCAACATGATGAAAATGGTGCCGGTAGCGACCACGTATTGAGTGCTCGTTATTGGCCAAACACTTCACATTCTTTATGTCATTTAATCCTTACAAGTTTGGGGGGTTATGTACTATTATGAATCCCATTTTTAACTGGGTTGGAATTGCAGTTCTACCATTTACTACTTATGTGTTACTGGGTAAATTGCTTAACATCTCTGACCCTCAGTTTTCTCATCTATAAAATGAGAGAGATCTGAGAGTGTTGTGGAGATTAGTGACAATCCAGTAAAGAAATTAGCATTTTCCCTGGTTGCTGGCATCCAGTCCACAATCATAGTTATCGGCATCCTCATCATTGTCATAGCCAACTCTTGGGCTACTCCTGAAGGATTTATGGCTGAGTGGGAATTGGATTAGGTGACCACTAATATCATTTTTATTCTCCATACAGTTCAGGGAGAGGCTATGGAATGAAGTGGTCAGACACGTGGGCATTTTAGAATCACACTGATCGAGTTTTAAATCTAAGCTCTGCCACTTTCTTAATGGGGGACACAAGCAAAGGGCATGATGATATCTATCACATACAGCTGGCTGTGAAAGTCAAATAAGACAATTTATTTAAAGCATTAGCACAGTGTCTGGTATGTAAAAATGATTTCATAAATAGTGACTGTCAATGCCATTGTTATCCTTCCTGTGGTTCCTTACTGGGAATAATGGTGCCAACATGAGGTTTGTTCCCACTGGCTTCCTATTTTCTAGGTTGTTATCAAATAATGAAGACATTGTGTTGCAGAAAGGTTGGTGCAGACATTCCCTGAGGGACTTCGTGCTGTAGCCTGTGGTTTGTGTCATTAAGATGTAATTTCCTTTTTTTAGCTGGTAGATAATGTTTCTTTCCAGAAATGCACATCTTTGTGTGATTTTGAGAGGAAGAAATATATTAACAAAAAGAAACTAGAGTGTCTTTTACTTAAGTAACAGGATTTAATTATTTTAAGAATTACTTAAAGTCATTCAATTCTGATTTAATGTATAAGTCACTCACTTATGCTATATGCTATCTAAACTGCAACATATGAAAAAAATGCAGTTTGGGATATATGATAGGTTAAATAATGAGCATACAAAAAAAATCAAGTCCTAACCCTTGAAAGTTGTAAATATTACTTCATTTGGAAAAGGGGCCTTTGCAAACTTTATTAAGGCTTTGGAGATGAGATTACTCTGGATTATCTGGGTAGTCCTGAAATGCCATCAGTGTCCTGATAGGAGAAAGGCAGAAAGAGGTTGCGTGCAGGTACACAAAGGAGACACACAGAAGCGTAGGAGGCAATGTGGCAGCAGAGGCAGAGATAGGATGGATGCAGCCACATGTCAGGGATTGTCAACAGCCCCCAGAAGCTGGAAAAGGCAAGAAGCAGCTTCTGCTCTGGAGCCTCCAGAGGGAGCGTGGCCTTGCTGACACTTGGTTTCAGACATCTGATCTCCAAAATTGGGAGAGAATAGATTTCTGTTATTTGTGACAATTTGTTCCAGGAGACCCAGAGTACAAATACAGGATCACAAAGCAAAATGAGCATTTGGGACCAGTCTAGGATTAAAACAGGGGCATAGGAATTTCCGGCATATCTCAGAGATGAAAGAGTCAGAACAACGAAGTTCAGGTTTTGAAGATGAATAATACTCTAAATTTTGTGTTCCACCATGCTGTGGTTTTGAATAGCTCTTTCACAAGTATTTTCACATCTAATTGAAGAGCGGGTTTGGAGTAAGGAGGACCATCAGCCGACTCTGCCAAAACTCACATACGAGAAGGACAGGGTTTAACTCAAGCAGTGGACATGGAGTTGAAGAAGAAGGCACAGTCCGAAGTTATAAAAACAGCCAACGTGGGCCAGATGCTGTAAAAATCACTTTGCGTGCATTACTCACTTAATCCTTACAATAACTCTATGATGTAAGCACTCTTACTTTTCTCACTTACAGATAAGGAATCAATGACATAGAGAAGATAAAAAATATGCCCAAAGTAACATAGCAAATAAGATGCAAAGACAGAATCTAAATTGTAAAATCAGAGTTTAAATGTTTATACTTGACAGTAGAGTGCCAGTTAGACAAGGTTCAGGCAATGGTGTACAAGTGTGCAGGAGGCAGGAGCCTGGGTGCATCTCACCCTGGGTGCATCCAGCAAAGGCATGTGTTGTCTGTAGAGAGTTGAAAAAAAAAAAAAAAAAAAAGACTAGAAGCTAGTCTGTATTTTATTCATCAGCATGAGCCAGAGCCCAGGATTCTGAACAAAGTCCATGATGCCTCCCTGCCAGACGACGTTGAGAAGTGTTCCCCCTTCCCTTGGTATACCTCTGAGTTCACCCACCATTGTGGACTGCTCAGAAACACTTAGACATGCAAGACAGAAGCATGTCTATTCACTGGGTGTGTCAACCTTTTCAATTTATGAAAGTGGAATCCTTGGGAACAACCTCTGTGGCATGCTCTGGTTTATCTCAGCTCACCATAGGTCATGGGCAGCTAGGCATGTTGGTAGGCATCCATCAGCCCCTCCAGATGACCCATACTAGATGGCAATGTATTGAACAGTACCCAGAGAAGCCATCAGAGATCAGTGTGTCCCTATCCAAATAACCACTTCTCTGCATATAAGCCATAATATATACATCCTTTGCAGCCTTGCCCAATAATGCCTTCCAGACAGAATCAGGAGAGGCAGAGAAAAGTTCTACCACCTTCACGTCCATGGATTCCAGTACCTATTCCAGACCCAATTTCTTCCTAGACCTCCAGAATTATAGACCTGGCTGCTTGTCTCCATTTGAATGCCCAGTACACAACTCAAACATTAAGTGCCTCCAAACTGGTCATCAATGCCTTACCTTTTTCTCCTGGCATGGAAAGCATTCAGTCCACTCTGACCAGCTACCTAGCTGGCAGTCAACTGCTGTGGGGTTGAAAGTCTCAGCAGCCCGGCTCACTCTGCTAAAGAGGAGAAAGACCCTTGCTTCAATTTAAAAGTTTTTATTGGGATAATTTTTATTTTTGTTATTAAAAATGCAAAAAGTTATTTTAATATGAAAGCATCTTAATATGAAAACAGATACTGGATTTTTCCCAGTTTTATTGAAGTATAATTGACAAAAATTATATATATTCAGGTATATAATGTGATGGTTTGATATACGTATATATTGTGAAATAATTACAATGAAGCTAATTCATCCATCACCTCACAGTTACCTTTTTTGGGAAGGGCAAGAACGTAATATCTACTCTTTTAGCAAATTTCAAGTCTACAAAAACAGTTTTATTAACTATTGTTACCACTGAATACATTCCATCCCCAGAATTTACTCATCCTATAACCAAAAGTTTGTACTCTTCGACCAATCTCTCCCCATTTTCCCCCTCTCTTCAGCATCTTGTAACCACCTACTATCATCTACTTTCTGGTTCTATGACCTCAACTTTTAAAAAATTCCATGTATAAGAGAGATCATACAGCATTCTCTTTGTCTGTCTGGCATTTTTCACATAGCATAATATCTTCCAGGTTTTTCCATGTTGTCACAAATGGCAGGATTTCCTTTTTTTTTTTTTTCAATAGCTGAACATAGGCTGAATTTTCTAACTTTTAAAGTTTGCCCATTGATTTGGGCATCTGGGTACCTGCAGCAACAGAACTGGAGGCAATATTAAAAGCTATTCCTTTAACCTTCAAGTTATTTGGAGGTGGGGGTGGACATGGAGCAGGAAGAGGAGGGGAATGTCCACTGCCGCTCAGTTATTCTTACTTGAAAGGCTTGGCTCCAAGGGTACTTCCAACACTTGAATGATTTTATCTTCCTTTTTAAGAATTACATGTGCTGTTTTTAAAATAAAAGATATGTGACCTATTGCCCTTTCTTCTTTTCCAATTTCTTTTATTGTGGTAAAGTACAAATAATATAAAATGTACTAACTTTACCATTTTTAAGTGTACAGTTCAGTGCCATTAAGTACATTCATATTGTTCTGCCACCACCATTTATCTCTAGAACTCTTTTCATCTCCCTGTATCAATTTTGAGATGCAAAATTTAAGCCAAGGAAAAATCTATGCACATTTCCCTTCCAGTCAATCACACTTTTAAGAAATGTGCATTAAGAATGAAAATTTTATCACGCTCCTATTGTATGCAGGTATGATGCTAGAGGGTTTATATAAAATCTCTCTTTTAATTCTATGTGAATCCTATTTTTAGAGTAACAAGTATTGAGGAAGGCTAACATTTTTGGAGTCAGAGTAGCAAAAAGCCCAGTGGTTAAAAACACAGGGTTTGGGTTGAGAGGGCTCAGTCTGAATTTTAGCCACCTGCTGACTTTGAAAACAAGCCAGATATTTAACTGCTCTCAGCTATGGCTCTCCCATCAGTAGAACTATGTTAAAAATAATATTACCTAATAGTGTTATTGAACGCACATTAAAATGCTTATGAAGTGTTTATTAAAGGTTGGCTTTTATTACTACATGATAGACATTACATGGATTATCTCATTTAATCCTAGGAGGTAAATATTAGCAGCCCTATTTTGCATATAAGAAAGTCAAGACTCTTAAAAGCTAAGTAACGCCCGAAGTCATAGCCCAGGGGTGACAGAGGTAGAATTTCAACCAGCTAGCTTGATGGCAAAGCTCACTTCCTGTTCCTCATCCTGTTTGCCTAGCTCCAAGCCTGAGCTTCTAAGCACAGCATTGTCCCTGCTCTGGTAGTTTCAAAGCCTGGTCATCCCACTGGGCAAAGGCGGAAGATTGTCTGTCACCACCAGAATTGCCACACCTTCTGAGAACCAAGCAACCTCTGCTATAACAAATGGAACAACTATCTCCCTCATGTAGGGAGCGGGGGGCGGGATGAGTACTTCCAATCTCATGCTACTTTTACCAGAGCTGCTGCTCATGACAAATTATGACACCCAGGCTGAAACCCTGGACAGGGAGCAATGAAATAGTCAGAATGGTGACTATCTTTAACACTCTTTCTCAAACTTGGGTCCTAGGACCCCTTTACCTTCTATCATGTTACTGGGAACTCCAGTGAGCTTTTGTTTAGGTGGGCTAGATCTATTGATACTCATAAAATTTGAAATCAAAACTGAGAAAAATTTAAAATATATATTGATCTATTTAAAATTATAATAACAAACCGTATTTAACATAAGTGTACTTAAAAATACATTTCCAAGAATAATAATTAGTGAAAAATGTCATCATTTTACATTTCTGCACATTTCTTTAATGTCTGGTTGGTAGAAAGAAGTCAGGTTCTCATTTCTGCTTCTTCATTAAATCCATTGGTTTATGTTGCTTTGGTTAAATGCTACAAAAAAAAATCCAGCCTTGTACATTTATGTACATTTATGCAGTTGAGGAAAGTTTTAATAGTCTTTCCAGGTAATTGTGGATATGCTTTGGATACTACCCCAAAACTGGACAAGGGATAATTCCTTAAATGTTAGTTGCAATGTGGAATCTGAAAACATATCAATGAATTTGTTTGGACTCTGTTACATTGAACCCATTGGCCTATCTACATGTTGAATGGATGTGATACCCATACATGATTTTGGTATCATTAGGCACTGGAAATTTAAAAATAATGATCCACTAATTATACATATTTAAAAAATATTAATTCAATATTATACAATATAAAAAGCCAAATTTATTAAGATTGCCAGTGATGTCCTCAAACTCACAGTATGGATATGTTTCCCACAATTTTAATATTTGCATGAAAGCTCAAATTTTGTCATTGGTAACAATAACATTATTTGATTTACTTGAAGTGATAGGCTCTCTGTTCATTTTTGAGACAAAGTCTGCCAACTATCTAAGCCTGAGTAACTGTAGTTTGACAGTTACTCTCTTGAGTAAAAACAATGTTCCAGGAGAAAGGTGGCTGCTTTTACTTGCAACACAGATGACTGCTTTTTCACAGGGCAACCATCATACTTTGGTGCAGCAGCAGCAGCATCTCTTTATGTGCTCTTCCCATTTTGACACATAGGATATTTAAATAACATGCATTTAAAGATTGAGGTTCAATAAAATTAATGTTTTACTGTTTCAAAAAGGGCTTCCTTAAGTAAAACTTAATTTCTTCACTGTGAGATTGGTGCCACTCCCTTGACTTGCACTAAGGCCACAGTAGTTTTACGTGCCGTTACTTTTGCACCACTAGTGCAAAGAGAAACATAGTGAAAAAGGTCAAATGTTTTAGTATTTTTGTGAAGTTCTTTTGAACTCACAAGATCCCTGCCCCCAAATATAAAAAAAAAAATCGTAGGGACTCCTTGAGGTCTACACACCACACTTTGAGAAGACTGTGATCTATAAAATGATGCTAGTACATATATAACACCACCACTACTGTCCCTTCAGAGGAAACTTCAGAGCTCAACTCACTTTATCTCTATTCCAATTTCTGTCATGGCTCTGGAAGCCCGCACCATCCCTATAAATGAGCCATCCAACACTCTGACCTCTCAGTTGCTTCTTTTCCTCACCTTCAATGACCTTTCTTTTTCACTGCACTGTCTTCGGTGGTCACACCCTGGACCTTCTCACTTTCTGATACAGCTTCTCCTCCAAATCACTAGTTCACAAGTCATCTGCAAATAGCGATTTGGTGCTCCACAGCCTCTTCTATCTTATGTGCATAAGAACCCCCCCTGCTCTTTTGTTTGGACCTCATTGCACCTCCATTTTCTTGACTCCTAAGCTCTCTCTCTTTTTATTTCCCTTTATAACCCATTTTTATTCCATGACTAAAATTTTAAAATCTTAATTATATCCGGAATTCCTGGGCCCCATTCTTCCCTTGACCACACCTACCTGTAGAAGCCAATCCTGGATGAATCCGACTGTCTACCTCTGTTCCTGGCTAACTCCTGCATTTCCTTCAATCTCATCACAAACATCAGATTCCTAGGAACACATTGCTCACTACACAGACTATTTAGATAACTCACTTCATATTATTTGGTCAAGCTCTGTGCATTCTCTCAATACTTAATTATCACAATTGTAATATTTGTATAATTTCTGTTTTCTCCATCAGATTGTAAGCTTTATGAAGGCAAGTATTGTCTGTATGTTTGTTACTGAAGTCCCAGCACCTATCACGGAGACAGACCCAAGTAAAGTGCTCAATAAATATTTAGGGGGGAAAAATGAAGGAAAGGATGCAAGGAAGAATTAAAAAAGGGAGGGAGAGAGGAAGGGAAGGGAAGGGGAGGGAGGGGAGGGGAGGGAAGGGAAGAAAGAAAAGGGAAAAAATAAAAATAATTTATGAGAAATAAATTACATTGTTTTGAGATTTATTTAAATCTAATTTTTCAACTAGAACCCAATGAAATAATTCTGGAATCTACACATTCAAATGACTCAAGGTTTGGTCCATGTGTCATTTTGCTGATAAATTACCCTAATAATAAAAGTTTGAAGCCTAGGAACATGGAGAAAGACAAGGGTTCTAATCATCAAAAGGTGGGAGAGAAGGCTTGGAGCAGAAAATGTCTCCAGCATTAGTTTTGCATCTCACTATAGAATTGTCAAGATAATGTCATTGTAAACCCACAGAGACTGCATTATGATGTCAAAATGGAAAAAAACAGTATTAATGGATGGAAGCAAAAGCCTAGACAGAGCAGAGCTCTGTTGCCGTAGTTTTAAAAGCTTTGTGACATGATGTCTAGACAGAGGCACACACAGTAATGCTATCACTGAAGCAAGAGTACAAAAGGTACACGGGACCATTCATTAAATCATTACAGGGCTCCAACCTTCTAACCAACATCAATATGACCAGCCTTTTGTTTTATCATTCTGAGGAATTTTTTTAATGTAGATTATTTTTTGCTGATTATAAAAATAGTACATTCTCATTAAAGAGAACATGAAAAAGATAATGAAAGAAAAAATTGCCCCACTTCCTACCAACACTAATATTTTGCCCTATTTCCTTTCACTCTTTATTTTCAAAACAGTTGAGGTCATACTGAGTATTGCATTTTATATCCTGCTTTTCCACTTGGTACTGCAGCAGAAACATAAACTGTTTATGATGGCTACACATTGTTTCACTTCCCTGATATCAAGAAATTAGATTATCAAGCACCCAGGTTTTCTACTCATTTCTAAGTCATTTATTGAAGATATATCCAATACAATGGGATGGCTGAGTTGAAGAATAGTGATTTTAAAGCTTGTGACACATATGGCCCAATAGCTTTCCAACAGAATTGTATCCATTTTTCAATGACTTAAGGAAACATTAATAAATCTGTGGCCTAGTAAATCTGGGCAAATAGTTTTAAAGCATCTCCCAGCTATTGAAAATCTACTCAAGCAATACGACATTTAATATAAAGCACTGGGATTCGGGAGTCTTTGATTCTAGTGTTTAGTCTGCATGTGCCTTGCTGTGCTATTATATTCAAGTTTATTTAACTATCTGGCTTTTAGTTTTTTCCTCTGAAGAATCACACAAGTCAACATAGTGGTGCTGCAAGGTTTCTCAAAGTGTTCTTTATGGAACACTAGTTCCTGAGAGGTGTACGTGAGGTAGGAGAGGAGAAGAAAATTACATGGCCAGCTACATTTGGATAAATTGCATACTACATACTACTTTTGGAGGTTTGAAATGCCCGATGACATATTAAAGGCTCTGAGAAGTTCTCATTTTAATTTACTTATCCCAGCATGCAATTTTTTTGAACACATCATTTTTTTTCATGTAACATCTATAAGATTATGTAGCACAGTTGAAGAAATTTTAATATAACAGAAAGGGATTTAGAGTCCAACAAACATGAATTTAAATCCAGTTTCTGCTACTTACTGAACTTCAATTTTATTATCGCTAAAAATAAGGGTAATAAAAACTTGTGAAACTGTTTTGAATGTGGAATGAAATGTATGTAAAAATCCTAAGCATCACCCTAACACACATGTTAGTTTCTTATCTCTGACCTTCTTATCCTATATGTGCTCATAAAACTCTCCATCTTAGTCAAAATGTATTGAATGCCTAAGCTTCACAGGGCCATGGACTGGTGAGATGCTTGCCATCCGCCTTTTTAAATATGGTGGCATATTGGGCAAAGGGCATAAGACCCAGAGGTGAACATACAGCTTGCGAGTCCAATGCTCGACCCCAAATTGTGGCCACTTCAGCAATTTAGATCATAAAATAATTAATTAGCTACCAGTCCTAAACTAGAAGGTCGGAAGCCCTAACCCTGATTATTACCAGAGCAGGGCACCTAATAAGTTGCCTCAGCTTATATTCAAAGCTGATTGTCACTAATTATATAATCTTGAGCCAGTTCCATTCAGTTACATGGAAATTACATCGTGAAACTGAAGTATTGTAAATTGGACTTTGAAAGTGCTGAGTCTCCAGTGTCCTCCCTGCTGCTAAATCCAGTGGAGAGTTTTCTGGGGTGGTTTTATTTGCTCTCTGTTAACCAGTTTTCTTCTTGAAATCTTTCCTCTTTGGACTCCCTTTGTACTGCACTTCCTTGCTCCCTTCCTACCTCAGTGGACAGTTTTCTTTGACTTTTCTAAAAACTGAAATTCCTCAGGTTGCGGTCTTGCCTTTCTTCTTCTCTTTCCGTTTTTCTCACTCTTGAGAAAGTGAGATCCATTTCCTGAGCTTCGCAACCATCCATATTAGTGCCTCCTGAATTTGGACCTTCAACTTGGACCACTTCTCTGAAATCCTGTTTTGTTTATCTGACTGCCCATTTTATACCTCTAGTAGGTGTCTCTCAGGCATGGCAAACTTAATGGCTTCAAATACAAACTCTTAATTTTCTCCTTTTACCCAGCAGTAAGTGGAACCACCATAGCACACAGAAGCTCAAGCCAGTTACCTAGCAGTGGTCTTTAATTGCTTCCTTCCCCTGGCCCCACACTCAGTCTTTGGGAAACTTTTGTCAATAATATTACCTTCACAATGTAGCTCAAATATCTTCCTGCCCATCTATCCGCACTGCCCCTGTCCTAACTTAAGGCACCATTAGCTCTCACCCAGATCATTGCTGTGGCCTCCAGTGAGCCAAGACCTTCCACATCGCCTTCCTCCAGTCTCTTCTTTGCACAGCCACAAGACTGATTTTTTAAAATTAGAAATCAGATGATATTCCTCTTTTACAAGACCATCGAGTGGTTGGTTGTTTTTTACGATACATGGACTAAAGCTCAAATTCCCCATCACAGTGCCCTGGGTCCTCTGTGATCTGGCCTCTGCCCACTTTTGACATCCTCTCGTGGTACAATCCCTGCTCTTATGCTCCTCCCATCCTTCAGGGCCATGACCATGACCGGCCATTTCCCACAGTAAGGCTTTGGCACATGCTGATCTCTCCATTCTCCCCTCCTTACCCTCCATCACCTCTCAGCTTCAGTGCCAGCCCTACAGAAGCCCTGCCCCAAACCAGGCTGTCTTCAGATTGCTCTGATAGCCTCTAAAAAAGGGCCCTATTTGTTTCCTTCATAGTATTTATCACAGATTTTACTGAAATGTTTTGTTTAAATGTTTATTAACTGACTCTACCACTACACTGTAAATCCCTTCAGTGTAGCAGCTTATCTATGTAGTTCACCACATAGTCCCTAGCATACTTGGACTATTTAATAAAATCAGTATGAACCCTAACATTGAAAACATATGATATACTTCTACATTTTAACTGTTATTAACTCATGCTTACCATTTGCTTATTATAAAGTCTCAATAGAAAAATGGGTTTTTTTGAGAAAAATATTTTAAAACAATGGTGATGATATAAGATTTTGTTTGGGGGGAGAGGAAAGTGCCATTGTTAAATTTATAAAGTTTGATATCAGTGACGAAGCTACAAGAGCCATGCCAACTGGCCCATTATAAATTTGTTCTAATCTTTTTCAACCATCAGAGTGAATGTAAATAAACAAAACAACAACATTCACACAACACCACCAGCAAGTTTTCACTGAATACTTACTAAGGACCAGGCGTTGTTCTAAGTACTTTTTATGCATTGAATTCTTCCTCTCACTTTCCTCCCATTTTCTAACTCAGAAAATGTAAATAACTTGCTGGAGGTCACACAAACACAAAATGCCTGCGCCAGAATTTGAATACATAGTTGTTTCACCATGTAGCTTTCTGTTTTCAAAGCCAGGGTCAGACACACTTGCATTAGATGCAAAGACCTCATGATTTCCTACTTCAGCACTTTGTAAATTATTTAATTGATTCTCTTTTGCCTTGACTTCAAATTTGCCTCTTCACTGATTTGTCTTATTTGATAAGTTCATCAAACATCAGGATTCTTTGTTCATTTTCAAAAAGGATTACAACCATAATCTTCTATAATTAAGAGTATCTCAGCAGAGATTTCCTTTACCACAGTTCCCTTGCCTTTATCTTCTAATTATTAGAGATGAATTTTCTGATTTTGTTCAAAATTGTGTTTGCTTTAAATACAAGTTGCAAATTAACTGCTTATAAAAATGCCTTCCTCCCTTCTGAACTGCTGCTTAAATTAAAAAAAAATCTCTCTTGCTCTAGCATTTAAAAACAATAATGATTTAAAATTAAATCATCCGACAAGAATTTGAATAAAATACCTCTAATTACAATCTTCAATGTTTGGGAGATAAGGACTGCTTTAAAGCTGTCCCAATGGTGAAATAAGGAGCTGTTTAAGCACCAGAAAATACTTAATGTTAAGATATAAAAAAACATGAGAGCAGGTTAGAAAATTCAGGGAAGTGGGCTGGTCAAAATGCAAGGTACATATGAAAATACCATTTCCATTCATTATCCCACTGCAAAAGGAAAACTGGTTTCTATGAAATGACCCAGCATCTCTACAGTCTCTTGCTTTTCCCAATAATTTTATATACATTAGCTAATTTTATTCTTCCCCAAACACTGTGAGATAGATATCCTTATGATTCACAAACAAACAAGTAGAGGTTAGCTGTCCAACAATAATCAAGACAACTATTATTTATAAGCTGAGTATATTGTATACACAGGATCTTATTTCATGTTCATTACCTCTTATAGAAGAGGCATTAGTATTCTCATTTTACAGATAGGAAAACTGAAGCCTAAACAAGTGAGGTGATGTAGTCCAGATGACCCGGCTCCTGAGTATTAGAACTGTGATTTGCACGCAGGCCCATCTGACTCCAAGTGCATTCCCTTTCCACTGCCCGCTAATCCTTCAGGGGATTAGTAATAGCACTAACAGAAGTCACATTCTAGCCTAAAATGGCCTGTAACAAACATGAAAGTGTCTTAGTTCCCCACCAGGTGAACCCTATGTGCAAATTTTGCAGAGACATATGGCTGACTCACCGGTTCACCTTCTCCTGTATGGTTACCGCAGGCTGACAAGTCATTAAAGACAACAGGAAGAAAGCAACAGCAAACATCTCATCCAGAATCTGCCAGCCAATGTCACCTGGAATGAATTAAATGATCTATGCAGGGAGTTGGAGTAAAAGATGCCTACAGGCTGGGACCCATAAGATCTTATGTTTGAAACAGCACCCCCTTGATTCTCAGTCAGATGCTGTTAATTAGTTACTGCAGTATTGATTAGTCAAACACCCTAAAACCCTGGACACCAGAGGCCACCGTCCTTTGGACCTTTTGAAAAACAATACCCATAAGATATTTATTTAACCAGTACCAGCTTAGCAAAGGGATCTTATTTTCAGAATAAAGCATAAGTCAAATCAAGATACAGTTCCAGATTTCACCGTCATTTTAAATGGCCCTTGGAAGGTGTAAGTTCAGATCAATTTGTTTTGCAAGATGGAAATAAGACAATACAGGTATATCAGCTCAGGCATAAACAGCCAGCAAAACAAAGAAAATGCTCACAGTCACATGGGGGTTCTGCAATGTAACGCCAAACATCTGGAGCCTGAGAAATGTAGATAATTCAATGGACCATCCACTGAATGGACTGTCTGATATCCAGACGTTGGATATCATTAAGATCCAGCATACCAGTGTCTTGAGAGGACCAGATGCCTTACATAGCTATCTCCAGAAGCATTCTCTAGAAATGTAGTAACAGCTACACATCTGGACTGACAGCACCAGACCTTCATACACTCTGACTCTTCTCTTCCAGTCAGGATGGGCCTTTCATAGTGCTTTTATTGCAGATGTGGGTGTGGTGAGGGGTGTTATGTCTGGATACTCATAGAAGCAGCTCAGGGTGGCACATCTGGAACCCACTTTTCCCACCAACTCCCTAGCTGTCCCCCTGTCTCATCCACAGTCCAAGTTCCTAAGACAGATTCATGGAACCCACCCCATATCCTTCCCCAGGGAAATGTAGCTCAGGTTTTCCTCCACCAGTTCTAATGCTTTTCTCATGTGGAGCAAATCTCTCTAGAACAGTGGGGATTTGGGGGGTGATTTTGCCCCTCAGGGGACATTTGGCAATGATCACAGACATTTATAATTGTCACAGTTTGGAGGTTGTACTACTGGCATCTAGTGGGTAGAGGCATGGATGCTGCTTAACATCCTATTAATCTATTAACATTAGATTTGCAGGGATGCTGCTTAACAACCCCCTCCACCCCCAGCAAAAATTTATCTGGCTCAAAATGTCAATACTGCTGAGACTGGGAAATGCTGCCTCACAAAAAAAGGCTGTGCTCCCTTTCCCGGGCCCTTGCAATACTGGTAAACTCATTTTCTGCTCTTTACATGTAGGCTATATTGCCTTCCTTCTTAGCCCACCTCCTTCTTGAGGTTTCCCCAATGTCTTTCTCTTCACCCAAGAACTCAGCAACACTCAGAACTCCTTAACCTCAACTTGCCTGTCCCATCCTTCACCCCTCAGCATAATCACTGAAATTCTATTCTGCTGCCTCTGTAATAGTTTCCCTCCAAGCTTCTCTCCTTCCTTATCTCTGCCTTTGATCCATTTATCCATTTCAGAGCTTCAGCTCTTTCTGAAATGACCACAAGAGACTCCTAGTGGGCCTCAGTTTCTCCTCACTCCATACCTCCCTGTACATTGTTGGGGAATTCCTCTTCAAGAAAATTACCTCTGATAACATCACTCTCCTGGTCAGAAACCTTCGGTGGCCCCCTGTGGTCTGTAAAATTAGAAGTCCAAATGCCTCTTTAAAGCGGTCCAACCCATCTGTGCAGGCTTACAGGCCACAACCCTCTACGTATGCCCCGCATTACAGTCCAGGTTCCCCTCCCCTTCCTCACACGTTCTCACTGCTGTGGCTGCTCATGTTGGACACTCCACCTGAGCTTCCTTTACCCATTGTCTCTTACCCTTCTGTCAGGCGTCTTCTCAGATAGCAGGTCTGTCATGGACCCTGGACCCCTGACTGATGGCTCCACCTGGGAGGTAGGTCTCTGTTTTCTTTAACCCTATAGACACACTACCAGCACTTTTCATTTTTGCCTCATATTATATTTTTCTAAGGAAACAGTGTATATCTTGAGAATGAAAGTTTCTTCAGGGTAAATTCTCTATCTGATTCTTCTTTATAAACACCGATATCACTTAAGACTAAATCTTTAATAAATATTTCTTGATGGAGTAAATTAGAAAATGAATACACTTTCAGGTATATTTACTCATTTAACCCTCAATAATCTTGTAAGATAAATATCATTACCATGAAGATAATCCTGAGAGTCAGGGAGACATTGACTAAGCTGGAAAATGGAGGCAAGATATATAGCATACCCAGCCCTGTGTCTGCCATGTTACATGATTTTAAAATTTTTTAATCTAATCTTCACAGTAATTTTGTAAGGCCAGTAATAATAGTGTTGTTTTGAAGATGAGGATATTGACTTTCAGAGTGGTTTAAGTAATTAGCCTGGAATCGCACAGCTGGTGAGTCTAAGAATCATAGATATATTATGTGTCCCACTTCAAAACCTGAGATCTTTTTTGCTTTGGTTACACAACTACTACACTACTAAATGAATTATTAGGACTAAGGCCTGGGTCTTCTACCTCCAAGTCCGGTTTTCTGTCTGTTATGCTTTAGCTCAGAGAATATCATTTCTAAGGAACAAAGAATGCAAAATAAAGTGAATGGAGAGATAATCAGAATAGAATCAAAAGAGAGATAGCTAAATCAGATGGGATTATTCCATTCCTTTATGACTAAGTATACACTGGGTGTGTGGGTATGTGTGAGTGTGTTGGGATGGGGGTGGGGCACTCATCTACTTTGAGCCAGAATGTTCTAAGATGAATGGAAATGCCAAAACATTTTAGGTTTGCATATGCGGATTTCACCTTAATTGTAGCATTCTGTTATCAAAGATAGATAGTTATAGAATACCATCCAGAATAGGCAGCAAGATGCCAATTCATTTAGAAAATGCATTGCTTGTCTCAGGGAAACACTTTCCACCATCTAAATCAGCCCATGAGTTATGGCCTCAGCGTGGAATGTGTTCTGTGTTGTCCCAGGCTGCCACCGTAGGGCGACATCCAGGTCTGTGCTCTCTGGAAGGCTTTCAGAATTCCACACCACATTCCCCCTGTGCTGGGCCTGCAGCTTGCCCAGTGCAGACAGGAGATCAAAATTCTGCAAATCTAATGCAAAGGCAGACAAGCTGCTGAGGTGAAAAGAACACAGTTGTAGGACAGAAAGTACCACTAACCAATTTTTTTTCTCTTTGTCTCAGTTTCTTTGTCTGTAAAGTGGATAAAATAATACCTATGGGGATAGAATTGAAAAGCTGAAGACTTAATGAGGAAATCTATCCTCAACTGGAAATTTTGAAGAGTTGTTTCTTAATTTATTTTCATTTTCCCTTCTGTCTGCTCCTCCTTCCCAGTATCTACTCATCTTCTCTCTTAAGCATGGGAGTGAAGGGGAAAAGCAGGAGAAAGAAGGGGCCTGACAAAGAGAATAATGGAGGAGGGTAGACTGGGGGAGGTCCATGTCCAGGTGCCGTGCTGATTCTGAAACCTTCTGGAGGAAGGATGCTACCAGAAGCAGCAGAGAGAATGGTTTCAGCTGTAGGGCCCAGGTGACAAAGTAGCACAAGGGCCCACTTCTCCGTATCTGCCCAGGTTCTAGCATGTCAAGCATTGAAAAGTTTGGGAGCAACTCAGTGTAACAACTTCAGCTTGGACACGTCCAATCTCATGATGGCCATAAGCAAGCAAAGCTTCTCCAAGCTGCTTAATGGTTGGCAGTTCACACGGATGGCAGAGCAGAGTTTTGTGAGTTTATCTGAAGTACCGCTCCAGAGCATGTGTGTGTGTGTGTGTGTGTGTGTGTGTGTGTGTGTGTTAGGGCTGCTCTCTCACTGGAAAAATCTGCCAAATGTTCAACACAACACCTGGCGCCATGTCTGCAGGCAGTTGATGAGCATCCCCCACCCACCGCCTTGCCTTCCCCCACCTCCTCTCTCACCCTTTATAAGACTGAGTGTCTCTGATATCTGTGCTTCCTCCTGATTGCTTTCATCAGTGCCAGGCTGTGGCCAACAGACACTGGGTGGTGGGTTTTTGCCTGAAAATGAAGTGGGGCTGGTTTAAGAAACTGGCCTCAATTCGAGGCTTTATAAGGATTGGCTAGTGCGTGCCTAGTGCATGTTGAACTCTGTATTTGCATTGAAGGGGGAGGTGAGAGGGGTCAGTGTCTGCCTCGTTTCCACATTAGAGGAGAAATTAAAGCTACTCAAAGAGGACATTGAGCATTGTAAGCAGCTCTGGCCAAATCTGGGTGGCCCTTTGGGAAATTCCTCTTGGAATTCGGATGCAATAATAACCAGAGTCCATTTTACACCGAGCAAGTTCACCAGGCTCCATCGGTTGGTCAGTTGTCTGATCTGTGGAGCCTTTATTCACAGCATTGTACACGTACTCCCTCCTTGGTTCCCACAGCACCCTGCCCACATCCCCCTCTCTGAAGAGCCACTGACTTGATCATTTGTGATTTATCCCACCTGTGATTTCTGTGAACCTGTGAAAGTCAGGGCTGTGCCGGCCCAGAGTCTCTGTGCACCAGATGTGTGAGAGTCAGCCAGTGGAACTGCAGCCCCGCTGACTTCATGGGCCCCACGAGTAGGCAGTGCAGACCACAGTGCGCACAGATACTAAAAACAGTACTAAAACCCACGAGAAGCAGGTTGACTTTGTACGATCAGGTGCGCGGGCAGCTCTAAGCAGTGTCCGTGGGAAGCTCATTCTCCCACAGCCTTCTGTCCCCCAGTTCCCGCCAGCATCCCATCGAGAGCTCCAGCCCCTTTCCATTCCCCTGCTCCACCTAGAGCTCCTTGGGGGCAGGAGCCATGTTTTAAATCACCGTCCTGTCCCCAGTGCTGTCACACAGTAGGTGCTCTGTACTTGTGTTTTATGCAGCACAATAGGAAGATTGTGACTTTTACGGCTAACATTTCTGGATTGAAATCCCAGCACCACCATTAAGTGACTGTGCAACTTCAGACAAGTCATTGTACCCCTCTCCCTCCTGTATAGTGGGTTTGTTGGTAATGTCACACACATGCATATTTCATGTGCACACAAATACATGCATA